ACTATCACGAAGTTTTGAAAGATTTGCTGTTAAATGAAGTATATATTTTTGTAAAAATTAGAGAATCTCCTGCCTATTATTTATTTTCTAAATTGTATGAAAGGATATAATCACCCAAATCACTTCATCTCATTGCACGTCATGTAAAACATGTTAGAGAAACTGTAATGTTTATATTAAAGGACATGTTTACTACAGGCCAGGCTTGTTACTGACACGCTAGGCCTCGGTCAGGACACGTTTACTACAGGCCAGGCTTGTTCCTGACAGGCTAGGCCTCGGTCAGGACACGTTTACTACAGGCCAGGCTTGTTACTGACAGGCTAGGCCTCGGTCAGGACACGTTTACTACAGGCCAGGCTTGTTACTGACAGGCTAGGCCTCGGTCAGGACACGTTTACTACAGGCCAGGCTTGTTACTGACAGGCTAGGCCCCTCGGTCAGGACATTACTACAGGCCAGGCTTGTTACTGACACGTCAGGCCTCGGTCAGGACACGCTTACTACAGGTTGTGGCTTGTCTCGACACACGCTTAGGCCTCGGTCAGGACAGGTTTACTACAGGCCAGGCTTGTTACTGACACGCTAGGCCTCGGTCAGGACAGGTTTACTACAGGCCAGGCTTGTTCCTGACAGGCTAGGCCTCGGTCAGGACAAGTTTACTACAGGCCAGGCTTGTTACTGACACGCTAGGCCTCGGTCAGGACACGTTTACTACAGGCCAGGCTTGTTCCTGACAGGCTAGGCCTCGGTCAGGACACGTTTACTACAGGCCAGGCTTGTTACTGACAGGCTAGGCCTCGGTCAGGACACGTTTACTACAGGCCAGGCTTGTTACTGACACGCTAGGCCTCGGTCAGGACAGGTTTACTACAGGCCAGGCTTGTTACTGACAGTCTAGGCCTCGGTCAGGACACGTTTACTACAGGCCAGGCTTGTTACTGACAGTCTAGGCCTCGGTCAGGACAGGTTTACTGTTGTGCCTTAGCTTGCTGGCAGGCCAGGCTTGTTCCTGACAGGCTAGGCCTCGGTCAGGACAAGTTTACTACAGGCCAGGCTTGTTACTGACACGCTAGGCCTCGGTCAGGACACGTTTACTACAGGCCAGGCTTGTTCCTGACAGGCTAGGCCTCGGTCAGGACACGTTTACTACAGGCCAGGCTTGTTACTGACACGCTAGGCCACGGTCAGGACACGTTTACTACAGGCCAGGCTTGTTACTGACACGCTAGGCCTCGGTCAGGACACGTTTACTACAGGCCAGGCTTGTTACTGACACGCTAGGCCTCGGTCAGGACAGGTTTACTACAGGCCAGGCTTGTTACTGACACGCTAGGCCTCGGTCAGGACAGGTTTACTACAGGCCAGGCTTGTTACTGACAGACTAGGCCTCGGTCAGGACAATAATGTGTCCTCTGTCTCTTTATCCAAATTCGCTACCGTGACCAATCCTGATCTCCACTAATGAAATAATGTGAAATGTTGACAAACTGATACAGCTACCACATTAGGCACAGTTTATCTATGATTGTATAAACAGATTTTGATTCAATTTTACTGTTGATACGTTATTACAAGAGAACCATCACTTCTCACTGAAAATCGACCATTTTTATTTTTTTCATGTTACGCTTTGTTTTCTTTTAGAATTAATATTAATGATTTAGCAATTGACATGATAATTCAGCTCAGGCACAGACGAGGCAAACTAAGAGTAGACAGAAAGATTGTTTTTCATATCTCACAGACACATATTTACTTAAAGTACCACAAACATGTATTCCTGACCCTATAGTGTTAAAAACACCACCTAGCCCCCATAAATATAGTAAAAGCTTACCTTTATTTCAGTCTGCTGTTGCTGGCTCTGTCTCCTTGGTTGACATAATCAGAAGTGATGATCTCAGCCTATAGGAAAGCAATGGATTGGCTGGAATTTATAGGAGGAGGGGTTAAATGCCACCCTGGCCTATCAGAATCTCTTCATAGAGATACATTGAATCAATGCATCTCTATGAGGAAAGGTCATGCAGAGGGTGGAGACACTAAATGTCAGTCACACTGTGCAGCACTGACCCAGGAAGCACCTCTAGCAGCCATCTGAGGAGTGGCCAGTGAAGGTATCACTAGGCTGTAATGTAAACACTGCATTATCTCTGAAACAGTGTTTACTATAGTGTCCCTTTAATATAGTTAATAAGTAAATATTACAAGTCTTGGGACATGACAGTTCCCTTTTAAAGTTTTACTGTACACACCATGATTACTATAATAATCTATAGTGGTTATGGTGCATGCAGTCCCCTGTTACCATCCCAAGGTAAGCTATCAAAATGTTTATGCATGGGTTGGCACTTACTTGGCTCTTTTGGAAAACAGTCACCCCTCCAGCAAATCAATAATAGCCAAGTAAATGTCAAAGTGTTCATACTGTGCTACTGGGTATTGATGTATGTATCTGTCTATCTTTCTGTCCGTCTGCCTATCTCTGTATCACCTATCTGAAAATAATTGTGGCAATGACTAATTGTTACTAGGTATAGTGACTGCTAGTTACTAGGTATAGTGACTGCTAGTTACTAGGTATAGTGACTGATAATGAGTGGGGTAATAATCTGCTAGTTACTATGTATAATGACTGATAATGAGTGGAGTAATATTCTGCTAGTTACTATGTATAATGACTGATAATGAGTGGGGTAATATTCTGCTAGTTACTATGTATAATGACTGATAATGAGTGGGGTAATAATCTGCTAGTTACTTTGTATAATGACTGATAATGAGTGGAGTAATAATCTGCTAGTTACTATGTATAATGACTGATAATGAGTGGAGTAATAATCTGCTAGTTACTTTGTATAATGACTGATAATGAGTGGGGTAATCTGCTAGTTACTTTGTATAATGACTGATAATGAGTGGGGTAATCTGCTAGTTATTTTGTATAAGTGATATTGAGTAGGATAATCTGCTAGTTATACATACTAACTGTAATAAGCACATGTTGATTCTCATGTCCGTACTCAATGCTGCCTTGCCCTTCAATGGCAAAGAACCCAGTCTGCCCAGCGGGTCTGCCCTAACAGTCATGTCTCAGAAAATGTAGGAACAGTGCTACTTTCACACAATTTTGACACAAAAAAAAAAATCACAGACAAACATCCACATACATTTTATCTGGATATTTTGCTTAAAACACTTTCTTGAACATATAAACCCTAAACCATATGTAAAGAACATCAACACTTTACAAACAACTCTGAATCACGTCAAGTCCTGGTCAAATCCGAGAGCTCTTAACAAATCAAATGGAAAGTGTACAAACTGAGAATGTTCGAATAATCCTAGCAATATCTGACCATGTATTAGTGATGTGGGAGTACTATTAAGTGTGGTTCTTGAAGGAATGGGAAGACACAGGAGAGGAGAGGAGAGGCAGATGGGAGAACCAAATAACATTGAGATAGCAAAAGACATCATGTCATCCGGGGGAGCAGACAAATAGCAGTTCTGGAGGTGATGCGGTAGGAACTGGTGAGGAAGATATGACCAAAGACAGGGCAGCACTCTATGATAAAAACAACTTTTTGTAACTTCACAAACTCAACTAATCATCATGCCACAAGACACGAAGCGCGGAATGGGGGTAACTCTGGAGGGAGCTCGTTCACTCACAGAAACTATAGAGTCTCTGCAGAGACAGATAACGAACCTCGATGAGTGATTACCTTTATCCACTCCTTGCGACACTTATCGTCACACACGTCCGACTCCCATGCAGTGTCCATGTAATCACAGAACTGGGGGAGATTTATCAAAGTGATCTGAAAATAAAAATCTATTTTTTTCGAATTCAAAATCTTTCCCAATTTTAATGTTTTCGAAAAGTAGTCTAAAAGTGTTGCTGTTTTTCTTTGTATAGTCCAACAGGTTTTTCTACCATTAACAAAGAACACGTTGTGATTATTCAGAGACAAAATGAAAGTGGCATAAAAGATCACCAAAGAATGGAATACTTTTATGGTGCGGGAAAATACAGAAATATTAATAAATAGAATGAGACACAAAATAAGTAATAAACAACTGGCAGAATCGAGAATTCAGGAACACATGATTCTTCGTTAGTGGGATGTTGATAAATTGCCCCCATTGTATTCAGATCCTAGTTAATCTTTATGAACACAGGAAGGGTAGAGATTTATGAAAGTGTCACTGAAAAATGGCGCAAACTTCGTAATCACCATGGAATCCACAGGCGGTCGCTCAACTTTTTAATGTATGGTAAGTGTCGCATTTCTGTTAGTTTTTTACATCATTTTCTTATGTTTAAAACGGTTGTAACGGATCGCCTGGCACCCCGACTGGGTACCTCCGTTCACGGATGCTCCTAGTACTTTCCGAGGGCTCCAAGTACTCCACTAGACACCATAACCACCGCAGACTCCAGAGCTGCCGCAGTTTGGTTGGGGTCTCGCCGTCTTCCACCCACTCTAGGCCCAAGACCAGGATCCAGCTTCCAGTAGGCAGATCTCGCTTAGTCCAGAGAGCAGGAACAGGAACAAGCTCTTACAAGAGCTTAGTGATTATAGCAAACCCCAGAGTGAAAGGGTTAATGTTGTAATGGACTCTAATCCCCTCGGTTCTCGATCCCTCGGTCACCATAATCAATGTTGATGGAGGATCATTGTAAGCAATAACACACGGACAACAGCTTTACAAGACTCTCAAATGAGTGTATTCCAGAGCTGGCTTTTATACATAGTTTGCTTACATTAGCCATGGTATATGCAAATACAGTACAGACTATAAGATTTATTACTTCCTTGTATTACGTTATTCTGACAATGGAAAGATAAGCTTTTGCATACGTCTGGAAAAGAATATCCTGAAATCGGAATGGGCAAGACATCCTGAAATTTTAGCATTGTCTTACATCCTATAGAAGAAATACCTTAGTCTGTCACAGTCAGCATATTATGTCGTACATTGACTTTAAGTATTCAATATTCCTTCAGTCAGCAATAATCATGTTATAAACCTTATAAAAGCATAAAATACATATAAACAAGTTAACTATTTAATATTCTTACATTCCCCTCTTTGAGCAATAAAACAATTGCTCATCTTATCGATAAAATCTTACCAGGACAGAGAAACTTCCACATGGTATTTTCAGGGGTGCTAGTCACTCCCTGCGGGACTTTCATTAATTTCTTCACCTCGATTCCCATGTGGTAATTCCTAAGGCCCAGTTTAAAAATGGGTTGATACTCTACAGTGGCAGAGAGGAGAATTTCTAATTGTTTCTGTTCTGCATTATGGATTAATTTCTGTACTCTCTTCCTCAATGTACAAGTAAAGTGACAGTTATATAAAATCATACACAATAAAATCAGGACTATAATAACAAAATGATATAAGAATGATTTCATTATCTGGGATCCAGTAGGGGACCAACCAGTAAAGCATTGTACCAATTATGGGCTAAATCATTCTGAATTTGTGAACTCACCTTAAGGAGTTCTCCTTTTAGGATATGTGTGGCTACCTGTGTGTGTTATCTTTGGGAAAAATATAGTCCCCTGTGTATGTGGGTGCCCACCAGGTTAAATTCTTGGCAAAAAGATCATAAACTGGTACTGGTAATGTGTTAAATTGACAAGCTAATTTAACATCCTTTGATGTTGTATGATATAATGTAAAATAGCATGAGCATGAAAAATGTGAAACATTACCAGTTAACCATCCATTGCATTTACTGGATTGGGGTTTTAGAAGTAACCATTCATTATCTGTGAGGTTACGCTTTCCTCTAATCTTCTCTAGTTTGGGAATCATTAGTGTGTTTTCTAATGCCAATCCTTGTTGTTGTATCCATAAATACCTGATGGCACAAGTACTCCAGTTACTTAGACCTCTAGTGAATTTCATAGTTGCAACAGTTAAATTATCTAAATAATTATACATTGATTTATCTAAATCCAATCCTGTAACCTGTGATTTAACAACAATTGGAGCCCAGTTTGCAGTAGCATGAAAACCAGTCCCTATATGCATACTGGCTGTGTTTAACTTATTCTTGAGGGTCTCCATATCTATAACTATTTAGTATACCCATAGTGGTTCCAGCACCTCCTAACAGTGTGTCATACCATTCCCTTTTCTGCCTTTTGTTTGTTGTGTTACATAATGTTACAACAGGAGTAGTGATTTTTAATGACACATGTACAGCTTGTAAGAAGGCAGTTGTATTAATACATGTGGACGGAATAGGTGTGTGTGTGTCGTTGTTGACTTTTGGTTATATGGTAGAGGATAAAGGACAGTAATAAGGTGTAAAAATATAAGGTAGTGTATAGTTCTCAATTGTAGTGTTGTTCATAATGACTAACATTTGTCCCCTTCTCCAATTAATGATACCAGTTATATAATCATTATTAAAAGTAATAAGGCCTATCTGTTTACATTGATATGCAACCTTAACTGTGCACATTTCTGCGTTATAAGATCTAACAATTTTCTGTGAACCTTCAAACAAACATAATGCATCGGTTTCATTAGCTGTAGACACATTTCATATGGGTAACTGGTACTTATAAGGGTTACTATTTGTCCAATTCATCCAAATGCGTTCAGTGAATGAATGATTGCATATTGCATGCTGATAGAAAGTTGGTGGAGAAAGGTTCTTGAGGGGGCGTGTGTGACGAATACTAGATGAGGGGCTAAGGCCTAATTGGGCTGGGGGTATTGAAGAATTGTTCATCATGTCAGAGTCTTTTTCCAGAAACAAACAGGTTTCAAACTTGCCATTGACTTGTACTCATAATGGCATTCAAGGAACAATATCAGAGGGAGTATAACAACTCCAGAAAGCATAGCGCACAACATAATCTTGGTCTCAGGTACGTATGATCCTCTCAATCTACGATATGGTGTGAAAACCATGATGCTTCGCTGAGGAGAAATTCTTCTGTTTCCGAGCGAGGAGTGGTGTTGTCTTCCTTGGTTCCCCTCTTTGGACACAGCTTCACTCGGGATGCGTGAATCCAGATGTCATGGGAATCTGTGAGCAGCGGTTCTGGGTACAGCAATCACAGTAGCAGGTGGTCCAAAAGGGTATCCTCCTTTCTTGGTCCTGTTCAACTGACGGATATACACCTTGTCACCGGGATGGTATGAATGAGTAGGTTCCTGTGAAGGTAAGGGAAAACTGCGAAGAAACATTGTCATACATACCATTCGGTTTTATCAACAATTCCTGTACATATTGTTCTTGTATTAGCTGTAAATCCACAGACATTATAACAAGCGGTTCCCTGGCCCAGGGTGTGGGAAAAGGTCATCCCATCAAAATCTCAAATGGAGATAATTTAGTCACCTTGTGAGGAATCACTCTTATCTCAGCTAAAATAGCTGGTAGATATCTAGTCCAATTTACCCATGTTCCTGGGTAAATTCTGGGCTTTTCCTTAATAGTCCTATTCATCCTTTCAACTACCCCTGTATTCTGTGGATGATAGGGTATATGAAACTGCCAGGTAACTTGCAAGAATTTAGCAAGTTCCTGGGCAACCCCACTTGCAAAAACCGGGCCATTATCAGAGCCAATCTGCAGAGGGCAGCAATACCGGGGAATAATTTCAGTAACAATAATCTTCACTAGCATCTTCCCTAGATATCACAAAGGCCTCATGCCATCTACTAAACTGATTAACTATGACCAGTAAGTATTGCTGTTTCTTACCAATTTTGGATACATGAATAAAATCAATCTGTAAGTGTGTAAAAAGAGCAGTGTTCACACGATCTTACAAAAGACTGTACATGCTGCCTGAGATTCCTAATATAAAATGAATTCATGAAGAATTGAATGGTGCTTGCTATGTGCCTGACTGATGAAAATAAAGCAGCTTGCTTCAAGTATGCCTATTCTTCAAGTATGCCTATTCTCCCCTCTTTAGAGAACAGATCATTTTGATCTTTCTCTAAACCTTGTTTAATCCAAAAGACAGATTCTGGGTATTAAAAAAAAGAATCTCATAACCACTTAAGTGCTGGGCTGTCATGTGTTGTGTGGTGAGATTTGTTATCAGCTGAGTGACCTGGTGACTGGCATGAAGTATTGTAGGATGCCCTAGTGTGATAGTAGTAGCAGTTTCAACAGCCATTGCACATGCTATCAATGCTCTGAGACACGCCGGCATACCCTGTACCGGAGCTCGAACTACTTTGGAAAAGAATGCTATGGGACGCATACTGCCTCCTTGCTCTTGTGCACAGACTGCGGCCATGGTTTTACAATTGTCCCAAGCATACAAATGAAATGGTTTACAATACACAGGTAGTCCTAAAGCCTGGGCTTGCACAATAACAACTGTAAGGGCAATATATGCAGCTAGCATGTCTGGTGACCAGCAGACATTTTCAGGGCTGTCAGAACGTACAGCCTCCCTTAGGATTGAGTTATAATGGGAGCATTCAGGGATCCATTGGCGGCAGTAATTAATCATGCCGAGGAAGGTGAGCAACTCCTTCCGAGTAGTGGGTGTAGGAATCCTCTGAATGACCTCAATACATTTTGGACTCAATTGTCTGGTGCCTAAAGCCAGAACAAAACCTAAGTATTCAACTTTTGATTTACACAATTGCATTTTGTGTTTAACAACCTTGTGACCTATAGTTGCTGACAGTATCCACAGTGCTTGCCTCAGAGCTAGGGCTACATAACAACAAATCATCAACATTTTGCAAAAAGGACGGAACCATGACCGGTGGTCCATGTTTTTTAGAGTATGTTGGAGTACCAGCGAATAAACAGCTGGGGAATCCACATAGCCTTGGGTAAGCGTGTCCAGGTAAACTGACAGCCTTCAAAAAGTAAAAACCATAAGTAGCTGTGTCTCTTGATCAATAGGTATAGAAAAAATGCATTACTTAAATCAATGACAGTGAAGCAAGTGGCATCATGTGGAATGGCTGTAATGAGGGATGTCATATCAGGGACAATGGGTGAAATGGGCACAATTAAACTATTCAGGGCTCTAAAGTCCTGAACTAAGCGATATGCTGGCCAGTGGTGTTGGGAGTGGGTCTGGTGTTGTTCTTGCCTACAGGGCATATTTTGAGAAAGGTGGGGTTGTTGGGGTGTGTGGGGTTTCCTGGGGTTTCCTGGGGTTTCCTGGGGTGTGGACACTCATTCCTCCAGTGGCCATATTGGCCACAGTTGAAACAAGTGTTCCTGTCTATTCCTCCTTGGTTACCCCTGCCCCTATAACCCTGATTTTCCTGTCTCCATCCCCTTGCCCCTCTTTGACCACCCCTTCCACGGGCTTTATGTGCTCCATCCCATCCTCGCTCTCAGCCTGTGTAGGTGGCAATCCCTGAGCATAATAAGCAACCTTACTTTCCTAAATCTTTTCTTAATTCAAAACAACCTGCATTTTCCTTTTCTATAACCTTGGTAAGAAGATCTGAGCTATCCAAATTGGCCCAGTCTGAAATCAATTGTTTCACAAGCAAAGAATACTGTGGCAACATATTACCAAGGCATGACTGTATTTTAAAGAGATCTATATCATCTCCAGACATCAAACCTGCCTCATCCTTCCAACACTTGTAAAATTTCTTTACAAAAATCATATTACCAATCTCTTCCTTTGCATCTTGCTTATATGCCAAAGCAGTGAATATAGACTACCTATTCTTCCATAATCCCAACATTTCAGCTTCCACCTTGTTCCAAATTTTAGCACATCTTATTGAAGTACT